TATTCATACCTCCCACACATCGACGTCCTCCTTGCTTAACCCGGTTTGGGCAAGGACTTTGGGGATTGCCACCACTGGCGCGATTCCCATCACCCGGGGTTCCACGCCTCACAATGACTCCCGTTAACATACTTGATCATGCAAAGGAGAAGAAAGTCAGGACTCACCCACCACAGCACAGCCAACATATTTGGCCAAAATTTTCATGCCTTCCCTCTCAGCACGGTCTCGAGTCGTCAAAATGACCAAAGCAGCACCGTCGCCAACCCCGCTTGCGTTACCTGCGGTTGTCAGACTGTCCCCCCAGCCCGGAAATACACCTTTTAGAGAGGACAGTGACTCTGTGGTTACGCCCGGACGGATAGTGTCATCCCGCGAGATAATTTGCCCCTTTATTTCGATTGGGAGGATTTCATCCTTGAATACGCCGGACTTCTGAGCCTGAGGAAAGGGAACGAAATGTCAGAGGGAATTTCGAAACACTCGCGCCGCACCTGTTCTGCACGCGTATGGGATATCAGCGCGTACTTGTCCTGCTTCTCGCGTGAGATATTATACGTTTGAGCGACCATCTCGGATGTCCAGCCCATTGGCTAAACGAAATCATTCAACGGAATCCAGTATATGACTGTCACTTGGCTAACCTGAATGCAGTCGTAAGCCTGTGAATTCTTGCCCACTTCTTGGCACACTTCAGGTGTCGGACGAGGACTACGTACTGAGGTTGCAGAAATGCACGAGACGAGCATAGCAACCTACTTCAAGGACATGCTCTCAACCCCAACTGCCAACCCAAGAGAAGCCTCCCCAGACTTTATGTCATTGGCAAGGTTTCTGATGGCCATGAGACCAGATGAGCACAGTCTGTTCACAGTGGAAATTGGGACTGTGTGCGGTATCCCGGCTGCTAATGCGGCTGCGCGGGACAAGTATAATGGAGAAGGTGGATGGCATGTTCCTGTAACAGTATTCTGAGAATGTGCTATTGTGGCAGTTGTGCAGAAGGACCACTCACCGACGCATATATCGTCTATACTCTCCGGACGTATGCCTGTCGCTCTCAAAGTAGTCTGATCACAGCGTAAATGATATCACAACACCAAATATCATGTTATAGACCTTGAACAAGCCTAAAAGCATCTCGTCGACCGGAACGTCCTTCAGTTGACCTTTCTTTGCCCTGCCCATTGCTGTACGCTGAGCGAAAGTAATGACTACATCGGAAGGGCTCTTCACAAGTAAACCTGGACGACCATAGACTGCCTTAGTCGAAGCTGCCCGTGCTAAAGGAAAGCTTGCTGCCCAGCTAATGGCCATGGATGAGGGAGTTGGAGTGAGCAACTGGTCATGTGATGTAGATCCTTATGGGCGCTTAGTGCGAAGTCACCCAACACAACTACGCCCGTTCAATTTCCAAAATGATGCACGAGGGACAGTTTAACGCGGCGGCTCTTGGGAATGCACACCCAGCTGTACGGGACAAGGTTGTACTTACATTAAGACGCTGCTGTGGCAATGGCCTCCGTACATGATGAAGCAGACGTCGTGTTGATACCCATGAAGGCAACCCTTTGGGTAGACGACCAAAGATATATTTCCTGGGCGGTATGAAATGAGGACACTGTTTGCACGAACATTGTTACATAGGTATACGGTCGCGGTCAGAAATTTGGCTGCGCCGCAAATGGTGTTCCAGGATCAGGTGTTCAGGCTACTGATGAGAATACGTCACCGGACCTTAGTAGATCAACCAGTCCTTGGCAATGGACGTTTCCTCGTTCCATCGTTTGGCTCCTAAACGTGTATTTTAGGTCGAGGTGTGGTAGCATTTTTGTAATAACCAACCAAATAAACCGCATCGTCGCATCCCGTGGGCATCAGTCAAGCTCGACAATGCTGCCGCTTCTGCTTCGGTCATGGGCCTCCTTTTTAAAACCCCGCGTGATTTCAGAGTAGCAATGTGGACAAAGATGGTGGGCAAGTTTCGCAGCACCGCAACCTGGACAGTGAACGATGTCTGCGAAACAAAAATGAGTTGTTGCGCTGACGAGACGCGCGGGATCCGTACTTGTTCGTTCTTTGGCACCTTTGTTCGCGCTCCGCATCGCCTTTCTTGAATGCGAAACCTTTTTCTTCGGCACGGCCAGTAGAAATGGAGGAAACAAGTCCCATAGATATTGAAGTTTGGGCAGTGAGAAAGGGAAAGGTCGAAGGAGGAAGGAGGATGAAGCTAAGCCCCATGCAGCGGCATTGAACACCGGTGATGATCGCAGCGAGGGCAGGAGAGCAAAAGCCATATGTCACATATTGTCACGTCACGCTCCTGCTTCTTTCAATGTTACGCCTCAGCCGTCCTCTTTTCCAACATGCGTTAAGGACAACGACGGGCGTCACGGGCTTGGCCAGACACTCAAACCCACTTCCAGCCCTCGAAGACACCTTCCGGTCAACCCTCTCGCGCCTCGCCAACATCCCAGAATCATCAGTGTACCGACAAAGTGTCCAAGCGCTCACAGAGCGGAAACTCGACATTGTGCAGAAAGCGAGCGGAGACGTCGATGCTGCGGAAAAAGCACTTGATGAGGGCCAGATTGAGGAAGTTTTAGGGGTTGCGCAAGACGAGCTGATTTTGATTGGCAAGATGATAGACTGGAAAGCGTGTGTTTTCCAAATAACAGGCATATATGATTTGTGAACTGACAGTCAATTCACCAGGTGGGAACCATTAGAAGAGCATCACCAGCCAGGACAATGGCAGTAGCTTGTGTCGATAAATAAACCCTTGGGTGCCAATATGATCGAACATTTCACTCGACGTCTCGAAAATCGCCGTTAGGGGTATAAACAATTTTTTCTTTTCTTTATAATACTTGTGCCTGCTGCGAGAGTGGAAAATGTACGCAAGACTAGCGAAACTGTGTGATACTATATGCAATGTGCAGTGAGCGGAGAATATTCAGGATCAGGTGAGGAACACTTCAACAGATATCAGGCAGACAAGAAGGCGTGATTGACTCTCGCCCAAGAAACAGTCTCCTACCGCACTTTTTCAGTTCGCCAAACGTCCTGTGCAGTTGCATTAGGAGAGCGAGGGGAATGCGGACGTATCGTCGACATCCACAATTGGTTCACGATTGCCGTTGGCACCATATCCACCCCTGCCACGGCTGCGGCCACCACGTCCGCCTCCGCCTCCACGGGCACCGCGATCTCCACCGCGATCTCCGCCACGTTCGCCGCCACGTCCGCCGCGTCCGCCGCGTCCGCCGCGAGCAGGGGGTTCAAAGCGAGCTTCAATCTCAAGGAAAACTTTTTCCTTTTTCTCGGCTGTGCGCTGCTTCGGCTGGGATTTTGACTAAAGCCATGGATTAATAATCCAATCACCCCTTATACATCAGACAGCTCACCTTTCCAACGAAGTACGCGTCCTCGTCCTCCTTATTGAGTTGGATGGCGTCCTTCCAGAGGGTGTCGTCCGAACCCTCATTAGCTTTGCGGACACCCTCGAGCTTCGGGACGGCAGCCAGTTCCTTCTCCTTCTTTTGAGCCAAGTATTGGTCCAGAGTCAAAGTGTTGTCTTCCTCTTCCTCGCGATTGGCGCCACGCCTCTCGCTAGAAACTGCAGTGTCCTTCTGGGGTGTCTCAACAGCTGCAGCGCCTTCCCCGGGTGTCGGGGCAGCCCAGTCGTCCTCAATGGGTGCATCGATAGGTGCAACTTCGGCGGCGGCATCCTGCACGGCGGCCTCTTCAGCCTTCAGTTCAGAGTTGCCTTCATCACCTCCCCACCCTTGGTGAAGCTTTTTATCCGAGTCCCTAAACGAAAGTTCAATTCAGCAAGACAATGAGGAGTTCCGTCTTACGTTTTGCCAGTGCCGCTGTGCCTGTCAAATTCACGACCGCGACCTCCTCCCCCACCACCACCCCTTCCACGGCTGCGGCCGTCACCTCTGCCTCTGCCCCTTCCACGGGCTCGCCCTCCATCATCACCATCGCCTGGCGTGTGATGATTCACCAAATACAAAACGAATTTGTAGTGAACGCGAAGGGAACGGGTGGAGACACGTGAGCAGGTTATTTAGAATCTGTGGAAGGAATTGGGAACTTACCGCGCCTGGGCTCGCGGTTGGGAGCTGCCTCTTCATTTCCTTCTCCTCCTTCCCTTGGGTTGCTGCCTTTGGCACCTCCCCGTTGGTAGTACCTCCCACCCCTGGAAGCAGGTCCGGTTTTGGCCTTTTGTGCACCACGAGCAGGCGCGTCCGTCTTATCCGTGGCGTCCCCGCCCTTGGTTTGATTAGTGGCCACCGCGGGGGCAGAATCAGGTGACGACTCGTCGTCTACATGTGAGAAGGGGTCGTTAATAGCAACACAAAATCTTTGGACAGATTACCGACCGTTGAGGATCGCGAACGGATTTCTGGAGGCTACCGACATTGTTGACGGCGCCTTTTTTGCGACTTGAATCGTGCTCCAAGAACGAGGATGGTAGGCAGAATTTGTCGTGCGGGACAACGGAAGCGAAAGGCGTTCGACAAGAAAGAGGAGTTTTCTCACGGTGGGGATTTTACGCAAACGTTGTGGCTTATGGCTGTACAGTACCAAACAAGTCCGGCCCTAAACAACCTTCTATATAGCAATTTTTGGTTACTGTTTTCTTCAACGCAAATCCACAGCCTCTCAAAGCATCTCGACGATGACTCGCCCGCCGTTAAGGACAGGCGTGGGTCGAGGACCTTGAGACCGTCATAGCAGGCTGGAGAGCAAGAAATCGTAATGGGACTTGGGTGCGGCGCGCTCGCTCGCGGAGCACTCTTCGTGGTGGGCCGCATGAGTTGGGTCGCAATGTCTCGTTGTACAAATGTAGCCCAATCAATTCATAGTTTATTTTTCTTGTCTCATTTTTAGAATCTTAATCCGAACGACTTATATGATGACTGGTTTTTGGTTGACTTGTGACATGATCCCACATTGAAATTGAAATTGCAAAATCAAGAAAAACACTCCGACGACTGCAGGGTTCGAACCTACGCGCAGAAACTGCATCAGATAATTGATATATTCAAATCTGACTCCGTAACCACTTGGATAAGTCGTCACTCTTCCAAAATCATAACTCTTATGTACCATATGAATTGATCTGGAGAAAACAGGTGTTGTGGAGGAACAAAATCTTACGAAAGAATGCAGAAGCAGTATAAGAGATTTTGCATCAAGTAGCTAGTATACAAATGCTATTGAATGACATGGGTGACAATTGATATGCTGATCAAATATTTGGGGAGGGGAAATTCTTGATGAGATTGCACATTCACGCTACATTCCCAGTTAGGCAACTGCCGCTCATTCTCACGCGTACTTTCACAACTATTTAGTGAAAGCGTCAGCCAGTCACCGGTTGTCACCTGCAACGGTACAAGTGTCGCGGAGAGATTCTGCACAACGAACTGCACAGTGCAAGTTTCCTCCTTGAAGCGCCGTGGCTCCGCAATGGATTCCTTAATACCGTTTACGACCTCTGGCTCGCTTGTCGACTGCGTGGACAGTACGTGTGGGTTATTCACCCGACGCAAAGAACAGTCCTCTGAGCTTAGTGATGGCCATTTCCCAACTCTGCGATGACTCCGCACAGAAAAAATGTTGGTGATCCTTCGGGATGGGCGGAAACTCATTGGTGTCCTAAGGTCCTATGATCAATTCGGCACGTATATTTAATCTCAGTTTGATGCACCACTCTCAGCCCTTTCACAGCCAACCTCGTATTAGAAGATACAACGGAACGTATATTCCACGGTTCAACATACGCAGATGTCCGTGTCGGTGTGTTCCTCATTCGCGGGGAAAATGTTGTTCTTCTCGGCGAAATTGTTCGTGTTTATACCACCATTTTATTGCGTTCGTTCTGGCTGATCCCCTTATAGGACCTCGACTTAGAAGATGAGGTTCCTCTGAAGCCAGTCAGCTATCCATTGCTAGAGCCTTTATTCAAGCAGGACATGACAGAGAGAAAAAATCGGGAAGGCGTAAAAGCACAAATTTTGTTTGAGCAGAAAGGTTTCTGTAGGGAAGGAGGCGAGGGAGATGGCTATTGATATCGCTAAAGTCCCGCATTATTCGTGTCCATATGGAAGTTACACATCATCGTTACAAACTGCAATGAAAATTAGTAGCGGGCGCGATTCTCGTACAGTTAGAAAATTGCCTCAGATTTCAGATATTTACAACCACATTGGAGATGGTTGAACGTCAATAGCTGGTATTTTACAATACACATGTTGTTATCATACAGAAAGTTTGGTTCGACCTGGGTTCTTTTTCTTCCCCTTCTTTGCAGCACCATCCGTGGTCTTGCGCTGCGCGGCAGTCATATGCGACTTCAAAGGAGCCTTCGAGGTATACTTCAGATGCGACTGTTGGCTCTGAGGATCTAACATATCTTCTATGTTCTTTCGTATTTCGCGTTCCCGCGTTGTTAACTTCGCAAGGGCTGCCTCGTTCATATCTTTCTCAAATGTAACTTCGGCCCCGCGAAGCTTTTGCCATCTTCATGTGGTAAATCAAAAGGAGGACATACACAACAAGCAGGACAATAACGCACCCCGTATGACGTTCGCACTTTTTTCTCCCCTGACACCACCACTCTCCGTCGTGAGTCAGGATGTATTCATCGTCCTCCTGAGTCTCGACGCGACCTGCTTCAAGATGTTCCTCATAGCTCTCAAGCACCGCTTCCCCAAACTCTGCGCACTCCTCGTCGCCAAAACACAGTCGCTGATCCCAACCACATTTATCGATGCGAGCCGCACGCTCTGTGGCGAGGTCCAGTAACCGCTCTCGCCATTGTGCGACCTCCAACTCCTTCTTCTTCTGCTCCCGGTCACGCGAGATTGCACGTAATAGTGCATGAAGACGGTCAACTTCACGTCTGACCACCGCATCCAAATTAGAGTGTGATCCATTCAGTTCGTCATTGGAAGTTGAAATCTCCGACATATTGGCTGGGCGAGGTTCTTCGTGCTTGGTTTCAGTCGCAATTGCCTCGGGAACGTGGAGTTCTCGCTCGCATACGACCACGCCCTCACGTCTTTTAGAGCCTTTGACAGCCCCCCACAAGCCAGCCACATCACCACCTCTGCTCGCCCAGCTTTGTATCTTCATCTCCATGCACCGAATGCCACACTCATCTGAGCAGTATTTCGAAAACGAACCCCTTGCGGGTTTGTGGCACGCATCGGCCGAGCCAGGATCAGGATGAACGAGGCCATTTCGGCACCTCGGTTTGTACGTGGTCTTCAGGCTCAACATAGGATTTCCTGACGGCATGTTAAGATTGCCATCAGCTGGCTGATTCATGGAACGTACGAGCAATGCACGGTGGGCAAATAAACTGATCGACGAGGTCGACCTCTAAGTCGGGCATATTGACGCATTGGGTGTGGTACCACTCGTCACATCTGAGAATTATGATGGACATTATTTACGCCACGCAAAATGGGATACCACGTACCGATCGCAGGCAATCATAACGCGATCCTCGTCATAGCGAGTTTTACACACACAATATAACTTGTCATCCTGGTCCTCTTCGTCTACTTCAGCATCTCCGCCGTCGGCGCCATGTTCAACCTTGCCATCAGGACCGAGAGAATCACGAGGCATGACCGACTGCGAGCGAGACCGTGTCTCTGAAACAGCGACGATGTTTGACTTGCGCTTGTTCTCCTTGATGGATGGAACAGCGGGGACAGGAAATGGCGACGCAGATCCTGAGCCAACCCCACGCCTCGGTGCAGTAGTTACTGCCGCCACGGATTTCTTGGTTTTGTGAATCATGCGTCCTGAGGATGTTACGTTTGGGAACGGATCTGCCGGTGTTGTCGTGAATGGTGCAGGGAGTGACGGGTGCGACGAGATCGGTGCCGGCGGGTGTTCTGTCAGTCGTTCCTTCGACTGCTTGACCGCTTTAGACTTCGAAGATGTACCAGGCTTCGCCTTAGGCTTCGAGGCCATTTTTGCCTTATCAGCCTACAACACAATGTCCACTTATGAAGCAACGCGAAATACTGTAATGAATGACGACTGACCTTGTCCCGGTCATCCTTCCCGGCACGTCCCTTCTGGCTGCTTTTTGCGATAGCCTCAATACTCCCCGGACGTGTCACCTTGTTGCGATCCTTCTGGTTCTTGGATAAAGACGGTGGCATTGACTCAAGTTCCTTTCCAGCCGTCTCGAAAGTCGCTATAGTTTGCCGCGTATCACCAAGTGAGTCCTTGTTTCTTCCAACATCACGCGTTGTTGAATGTAGGTGGTGATCTGTAGGACGATGATTGCGCGGCTGGTCGTCAATAAGGCTGAGCAACTCGTCCTCAACATCGACGTCCATTGTGTTCACGTCAACATCGAAATCCCCTTCCGTTCCACCAGTATTGTTCGCCAAAGCTTCAGGAGCTAGAGGTGAAATGATATCCAACTCATCATCCGTTGTAGCTGCCAGAATTGCTGCATCAACGTCCACCTCAGCTTCCTGATTCGGTGTACCGGGATGACTGGTGGCGACAACCCCGTGTTCTTCATGTGCAACCCCGACACCGGTGTCGCATTCGGCGGCTTCAGATCGGGCAGGAGGATGATGGGCCTGAATAGTTCCAACGGGATGCGATGGGTCTGTGGCTGGCACAGGTGAAGACGAAAACATTTGTGCAACGCTGCGCTGCTTGGGCTGTCTGACTTTCTGGTCTTTCGGCCAGACATGTGCATAGACTGTCTGAGGGGGTTGTTTAGGGACTCTGGAGCCTGGTCGAGGGCGGGAAACCGGTGTGTTTTCAAGGTGGCTTGGCTGTTCCAATGCTTCAAGGAAGAAGTCATGCGCATCTCGCTCATCCCTAATACGCACGTCCTCTTCCTCCTCTTTGGCGGCGGGAGACATTGTGGCTCCATGGGAGAGCATAGTTTGTCCAGCAACCGGGGAGATTTCTCTGTTGTCTTTCAGTGTCCATCGCTGCCCATGTGGTACTGGTGCCCCAGGAAGCTCCACTTTCTTTGCAGCCTCCTCATCCTTTACATAATCCTTCAATGGTCCTAGATTGACCATCAGGTCCATTGAATTTCCCGCACGTTTCGGAACAGGATGTAAAATTTCTCTTCCCTCGAATTCGCCCTGGCGGCTTTTCTTCACATCTCCCGATGGGTCGGACCGAGGGGGCTTGCGCTTTGGGTTTGCGGCTTTGCCAATGGATATTGGTCGGTCAATCGGTGCGCCAACATCTGCGCCAGGTGGTGAGACCACACGAGAGCTCGACGGCGAGGTAGTGTTTACAATGGTGGCAAAATATGAACTCGGAGTGGATCGAGTGTGAGCATAGAGAGGTGTTGAAGTTGGCATGGTCACTCCCACAGTTGTGCGAAATGTCGAAGAAGATGGTGAGATGGAAATCATTGTTTGCGTCAGTGGCACTTCTGAGAAAGTTTCGTTGGTGACTGCACGCTTTTGCTTTGCGGGAGACAACGGAGGCGATGATGGTGATGGCGCATGGCGTGTGCGGGCCACTGTAAGATGTGGCGGAGATACAGAGGGAATGTGCACATGTGGACGGGGTTTTTGAGAATGAGGAAAAGGCTGTGAATGATATTCCACCATTTCCGAGATCGATAGCTGTCGCCTATATTGCTCCGGAGACACAGAGACTGTCGAACGGACCACCGTAGAACGAATATGTGTTACGTCCGGCTCAGATTCGGGCATCGAGCGTCGTCGTTTTTCCGGCCGAACGGAACTTTCTGGTTTTGCACTCTGGAGTACATAATCTTCAGCAACCAATGATCTTGGACGGTCGTATGGGAGGGATAAGGTTGATATGGCAGGTGATTTGTTGAGGTGAACGTCAGAGCGAATCAAATTCGGACTTGCACTCCCCCGTAAACTGCCAATAGATTGCGCATAAGGAGAAGGGAATCGTTCATCATTGCTCTCGTAATTGCTTCCGCCACTGCGCCTTCTGCCATCACCCAGCGAATGCGTGTCGCCGCTAAATGTGATACGTGCCCGTTCCTCGGTGGCAGCCTGCACAAGGGCTTCCAAGCCACTGAAAGGTGTGGAC